GTCTGGTTTAGCTTTATATTTGCAGGAGGGAATAGCTCTAATCACACTGACTAAAGAATAATTGAGACTCGGGTAGTTTTATTGCTTTTTGCCAGATTGCAATAGTTGGTTTACTGTACCACAATGATCCCATAATGTCACCGCTGGGAGACTGCAGAGTGGGTTCTGCTCATTTTTACACACCCTGGTCTGGTGTACGAGCTTGACTGAAGCACATCAAAGCCGCTAGGGCTCCCTACCTTTGTCCCTGTCCTTAAAAGTGCATTCTGTATTTCTCAAAAGTTACAGAAGAATAAAAGAAAACACACCAGTATTACTATTCAAAATCCAGACAGGATCTGTAAACACGGCCTGTAACACTATCCTCTCCCGTCTTGCTTCCCGGTCCTCCGAAAACAGCAGTGTAAACAAGCGACGCTCCACGAGAGAAGAAAAACTGTGCAAGCCTCTGCAACGGGCTGATCTATAGAGGAGAAGCAGAAGGGTCCTGTCTAAACACTGCCTCTTATTAAATACGGTGTGACGTAAAAGCGCAGGGGGAGAGGTCAGGGTTACTCAAACACTGAACACGGGCAGTGGCCTGACGGAAACAAACGCAGAAGAATGACAACCTGTCTTGGTATGAAATGGTGATAAAGTGTGTGTACATATATACTAGCATTCAAAAGTTTGGGGTCAGTAAGTTTTTTGTTTTTTTAAGAAATCAATTATTTTATTAATCAAGGATGCATTAAATGAATCAAATAACATTTATAAAGTTACAAAAAAAAATCTTTTCAGCTTCATACTCATTAAAGAATTCTGAAAAAAGGTTGCAGATACATATATTAAGCAGCACAACTGTTTTCAACTTAATGATAATAAATGTTTCTTGAGCAACAAATCAGCATATCAGAATGATTTCTGAAGGATCATGTGAAACTGAAGACTGGAGTAATGATGCTGAAAATTCAGTTTTGCATAGCAGGAATAAATTTCATTTAAAATATATTCAAATGCAGAACGGTTATTTTAAATTGTAATAAAATTCCGCAATGTTACTGTTTTTATAGAATTTTTGTCAAATAAAGCAGCTTTGTTGATCATATTTAAAAAATATATATATATATATTAACCTAAATTGCACCTACTACCAAATACTAACAATTTATTCATTCATGAAAGATTTCGACAATTACTTTCATTTTCAACTGAGCATCATTCATTTGATCATAATTTAGTTGTCTTTTGGCACAAATTATTCACAGTGTCACCTGAAATCAAATGCCTTTTAAAGCATAATGGACTAAAACGAAGGAATACGACATGACAAAATATTAATGATTTGTTAAAATTTGTTGAAAAATGGTTTTATATTAACATTTGTGCATTTTTTAAAAGCGTTAAATTATTAGAGATTTTTTAATATTGCATATTCCACTTGATTTACTCGTTTTCTCTTGCCTTTCCTCCTTTTTTTCTCACGTCGCTCACAATTTCAGGTTTCATCGACATGTTCCCCATCTGTGACTCATTGCAGTTCCCAGAAATTATTTCATTTTTATGTAATGTGTATCATGGCCCAAATATGTTGCTCCCCCCAAACAAAACAAAAACGCATATTTGTGTTGCTGTGGCGATCATTCTAAAACACTTTCCTTCTGAGTTCCTCGGATAGTCCGGATAGTCTTGAGTGCAACCACGCAGGAATCCGGCACCCACCATCTCATAATGTCTGTGGCGGCCTGAAAGAAAAAAAAATCCGGGGACGATACTTGTGGAAACAATGCTCCAATCCCTGGAGCTTCACCTTCCATTGATACTCCAGAAAGGCCCGTTTGTATTTCTAAATTAAGTTTCTTCCTCCTTTTATGGGCCTTCGTGTTCCTGAGCCCACTGTGTAAAGGGCCTTTTGAAAGCGGGGTTTTAACACACAATTGGATTACAGCAAAGCACTTGGTGAGAAAGCGGCGGGTTGGGATGAGCGGACCTGCGAGAAGTACAGATGGTTTAGTGCATGCATAATGAAACAGACCAGGCAGTGTGTGTGTGTGAGTGTATGCACACGCCCCCCTAAAGCCCTCGGCCTGGCCTGGGAGAGGAAGGAGGCAGTCGGAGTCGGAGGCAGGCCAGGGGGCATAACGCTCCTGCCCAACCTGCCTGCCGCAGCAAGCCGGTCCTAATGATCTAATTAGGGAATCACTTCGCCGACTAATTCGGCCACGTTCAAGCAACCTGAGCCCGTCTCAATTATCCCAGGCTTGTTATCGGACGCTAAGCGACGTCATTTTACCTCGGCGTCCCTTTTCGATTGTTCCATAATGAATTCCGTTGTCGAATCGAGGCGGAATAACACGTCGACTGAGTCACTCCAGGTTGCTTTTCTTCTCCCAAACCCGAGCGGCGTTCCCATCTTTTTGATGGTGTGAGAACAAAATTAGAGATACGCAGGAACCATCCCTCCTCTGTCTTTCAATCGGCGGCCCATAGAGTGGCTTGTTATGCTCTTGTATAGAGGATTTAGGCCTGGTGAATGGGCCTGTTTGTGCACGGTATTTAGTTGTTTGTTGTTTAGTGTCTTTTTTTGTTGTTTATTTCGGGCGGGAGGGGTTTTTTTCTTTCCCCCCTCGCTCTCCGAGGGCCCTCGATGCAGATGTGACACACAGAGTCTGGGTCTCACGCCTCATTTGCATATTTAATTAGCAATGGGCACTGTGTGAGAGAGCACTTGGTCCGCGGAGGGCAACTGGGAGAGTGTGTGAAAGTCCCCGCACACACGCACCCACCCGGCCCCTTTGGTTGTGCTTTCACATATCTCTGGGCTGTTGCTGGGGCGGGGACTGTTGCTGCGTGTTTTTTTTTTTCTTTTTTTCGTTGTTTCGGCCCACTCTTCAGATTGCCTTTGTTTTAAACTGTTGATGCAGACGGCAACGCTGAGCTGAATGCAAACAAGGCCCTAAATTGTTTACTTTGTCTAGGAGCAGATGAAGGGGCTGGACAAACTTTTTTTTTTTGGGTGGTGGTGGGGGTTTGGGTTTTGCTTTTCTTCTTTTATCAAAAGTTACTTTCCGTGATTTATCATTAACTGAATCTTAAATCATTTTTGTATGCTAATTATTGCACAATTTAGCCTATGGGTTGCATTTGTGTTCCAAAAAGACATGTATTCTGTCAAAAATGAAGTGGAAGAAGTCATAAATCTTTTTCTTCTTTTATCAAAAGTTTCTTTCCGTATTTATCATTAACCGCATTTTTGTGCAGTTTAGCCTTTGTGTTCCAAAGTGATGTTTTATCGTATATTCTGCCCAAAAAATAGGTGAAAAGGTCATGAATCTTTTTCTTCTTTTATCAAAAATTTGTTTTCATGATTTATTCATTACCCAATTTGAATAATTATTGTATGCTAGTTATTGCGCAATTTAGCCTATTAGTTACATTTGTGTTCCAAAGTGATGTTTTAACGTTTATTTTTCCAAAAACTAAAGTGAAAAAGTCTTGTATCTTTTTACTTTTCTGTGATTAGCTGAAGATGTTTCTGAGATTTCACCATTTAGTTAAAATTGTGTTCCAAAGTGATGTTTCAACATATTCTGCCAAAAAAAAAAAATTAAGTGAAAAGGTCATGAATCTTTTTCTTCTTTTATTAAAAGTTTGTTTTCCATGAGAATTTTTGTACACTAATTTTTGCGCCGTTTAGACTTAATTTGTGTTTCAAAGTGATATTTTTAACATGTATTCTGCCAAAAAATTGAAATGTAAAAAGTCATGAATCAGATTCCGATCCCAACTTCGCCAGCCATGTTGTTTCGTGTGCTTGCTAGCGTGACATAGGTAATATTTCTCCCAGCATGACTATTTTATCCCCAGTGGGAAATCAATACTCACCCCAGCTTCTAAATCATCTTAAAAGGTGTTTCTTTGCAATTTTTGGCTGTCGTAGAAGAGTTAAAGGGACACGGGTGAATCTTTGCGAAAGTTCCCTTAACGTCACGGCACGAATCATTGCTATCGCAGCTAATGGTACCGTTAAAGAGCACTTCTTGGGAGAAATCGGAGCCCATCAAATGTATAGGGCCTTTTTTATGCAGTACACCCAGGTCTGAAGGCTTTCTCTCTCTCTAGACTTATTTCCATAAGTGTCTCGGCTGCAAATAGCACACTCAGTGTGAATTCACAGCCCAGACCCCACTGTCGGTCTGACCTACCGAGCCGCATGCCAAAAGGACATTGGCTAGAGTACAGTCAGACCTTCTATTCCGATAACTTCCCTTTTCATCTGAATGCTAATAAATACAGTCTGAAATTTACGGTTAGGCCTGTCAATTGATTTATATAATCACAGAATTCACTTTTATTTTATTTTGTAAATTGGAATTATTTATATTTTATTATAATTGTACATCTTAATATATATTTAAAAAAAGTAATTTACCTTATTGTTCACATATATATTTAAATATTAAAAATATATAAATTGTTTATATATATATATATATATATATATATATATATATATATATATATATATATATATATATATATATATATATATATATATATATATATATATATATATATATATATATATATATATATATATATATATATATATATATATATATATATATATATATATATATATAAATACATATATTTAATAAACCACATTACTTAACCTGTTAAATTACATCCGCAGTCATTTAAAGCCTTGAAAGACGGAGTATTTTTACGACGCATGCAGTATGTCCTATACTGTGGCAGCAGTCAGCTCTATTGAACCGGCAACACGGTGGCCTCCTGTGTACACACATCAGCATAGGGTTTCACCTGCGTGGCCAGTGTGCGGTTGGCTGCCAGACTGCACGATCAGCATGGTGATTCCTTGGTACTCTGGACTAGACGTTTTGTATCTTGAGTCTTAGGACTGCAGAAACAGTTTTCGAGAGGCTGTCAAGTGCATGATTTCATTGTGGTCATGAAACAAAATCTCACTTTCTTTTTCTTTGTGTGTCTTTCTACAGAAGCGGGGCAGTCTGAAAGTCCGAACCAGCCCAGTGAAGGCGACATCAAGGACCAGCCAGAAAATGGTGAGTGTTTCTAGTCAAGTTTCGCAACATATCCAAAAATATGCATATACAAATCCCAAACGTTATCCAGGATTTTGGAGCCATGGCCTAGCATTAGCACATTTGCTCCCGAGGACCTTGAAGCTAGTACATTCTTAAAAATAAAGATTATATATGGTTCCATGAAGAACCGTTAACGTCCATGGCAGGGGCGGACTTACCCATTAGGCAGAGGTAGGCGACCGCCTTGGGTCCCCAAATGCCAAGGGTCCCCAAATGCCAAGGGTCCCCTAAAATGCTTTTCATATAAGAGATGCGCATTAAGCGCTGATACGCGAACGGTTGCTGTTTACGGTGTTTATTACCACGACAGCCATCCGAATTGAACGTGCTTTTTGTGTATTCTGCTTGAAGGAGATGAAAATATTATGCATCTGAAGCTGTAATTAAATATTGAGAAACAGTGTGTATTATATGTTTATAATTGTTTTAATTGCGGCTTACTCATTTATGAGAAGGAACCATGTAGAGGACACATACGCAGTTACTTTTTTGGTTGATATAATCCTTAGGTGTGTAAATGTATAATTGCCTTTTCATTATTTGTTTCAGTTTTATTTAAATTTGTAGTTAAAATAACTAAAAATAAATGTATTTTAAAGTTTAGAATTAGACAGCCTTTGCAAACAGGCTTACGCTGGTAACTCATCAGTGGACTTTCCTCGTCAGTATAGGCTATATATTTTTCACACTTTTCTCATTCTATATTTCTGACGTTCCAAAATCGCCTCCTACTGGCAGAGAATGAATGGAATGTTCATTTTCAATAATCCAGTCTGTAGTTTTTGTTCAATGCGAAAATCCACCCACATAACCCCGTTTTAAATGAATATATTCATTTATACTTCTGACTCACCCCTGGTTTAAAAGCTCAATTTTGAGGTTTATCATTTTATAATTTATTTTGTTTTAGTGAAAACCTGTATCTCAACTGTAAATCAGTTGCTATTTCGTGGTCTACAACATGAAAGAAAGCCATTATAACATGTACATGAAAAATGTAGAAACATTGGACACAACTATGGGGCACCATTGTGCAGCAGCAAGCATCACAACAAAAAAGGAACCTCACGGTTGATCTAGGAAAATGTGTGCAAATGTATAGGGCCCCATTACTATATTTTACTGTTTCACCCCAATTCACTAAATCCGCCCCTGGTCCATGGAGCCTTTTCATTGCGGAAAAGGTTCTTTACTGGAGGAAAGAGATTAGATTATTCTTTATATTATTAAAGGGATAGTTCACCCAAAAATGAGAATTCTGTCATTAATCACTCACCCTCATGTTGTTCCAAACCCGAAAGACGTTCATTCATCTTCGGAACACAGATCTTTTTAAAGAAAATATATTTTTGATGAAATCCGGAAGTTTTCTGACCCTGCATAGACAGCAACGCAACTGACACATTCAAGGCCCAGAAAGGTAGTAAGGACATCGTTAAAATAGTCCATGTGACATCAGTGGTTCAACCGTAATTTTATGAACCTACGAGAATATTTTTGCACAAAGAAAATAAAAATAAATAACCACTTTATTCAACTATTTCTTCTCTTCCGAGTCAGTCTTCGACGCACATTTACTACCTTTCTGGGCGTTGAATGTGGCTGATGTCTATGGAGGGTCAGAAATCTCTCGGATTTAATCAGAAGTATCTTAATCTGTGTTCTGAAGATAAAATGATGGAACCGTGGAACCTTTCCACTGAACAAAAGGCTCTTAATAAGGGAAAAAGTTTCTTTAATTTATTAAAATGTTCTTCACTCACATGTTCTTCACAGTGGTTTTAAGAAAGTTCTTTGGGGAACCAAAGATGGTTCTTCTCTGGCATCACTTTTGGAACCTTCATTTTTAAGAGTGTAGAACCTTTCCATTGCACAAAAATGTATTTATAATGGAAAGATTATTAGACTGCTCCTTACACCTTAAGAAAAATTTTTTGAGAAGAACTGTTCGCTGAAAGGTTCTTTTGGTAACCAAAAATGGTTTTACTAAACCTTTTGAAATCTTTATTTTTTTAGTAGTGAATAGGAAATGCAGGTTTGAATCTGGCCTACATTATTTTGTCCCCAAAATATAGCTAGTTGGGGAAGTCGTGGCCTAATGGTTAGAGAGTCGGACTCGTAACCCAAAGGTTGCGGGTTCGAGTCTCATACCGGCAGGGATTGTGGGTGGGGGGAGTGAATGTACAGTGTAGGGCTGAACGATTTTGGAAAATAATCTAATTGCGATTTTTTTTTACCAATATTGCGATTGCGATTTAATATGCAATTATTTTTTAAAGCTCTTTATGTTCTGTATTATTCAACAAAGACAAGCTATAAATCATTGTATAGTATGACCAACACACTATTAGATAGATTAAACCTAAATGTTATTTTCTGTAGGCCAGGCCTATATGTTACGATGAAATTAGGTGATGCATGAATAGATATGAATTACATTTTTATTTAACATCTACAATCACAGTATATTGACTGATTTGTTGAACTTCCAACCTTGTAAGCATGTAATAATTATGTTTAAATAAGCCTGGTGTAAACATTAATATGAAAGTCAGTAACAAATCACACAAACTAAAGTAGATTGCAGAAATATAAAAACAAATCTGTTGCTTTACCACACTACTTTAGGTAATTAATTAAGTCACTGTAATAAACATATGTAAACATGTGGACTGCACTTTTTAAACACTGTCTGTT